TTATGCATACAGAACTGGGGTATGGGCCAGAGGTGCAGGGGCGGCGAGAGGCTTCACCAGAGACAGAGTGGGGAGCGGAACAGGCAGATCGACGAAGTACACTGCTGAGGGGAGCAGTGGGCGGGTCAGGAGAGGTCTGCCCGCGCCATGTGGTCTCCTCTGGGGCAGGCTGGGAGGGAATCGAACTCATGCGGAAGCGGCTTTAGCTTCTCAGTGTTGTGCTTTAACCAGCTGCCCCACCAGAGAGGGCCTCCTTTAATTTTTTTTTTTAAGGAAAAAAACCTTGAATTTCTTTATCTTACAATAACCAGGAAGAATATGACTCATCCTTTCTTCTTTCACAGAATTCACAGTTACTGTGAACATTTGCCTTGCAAATGTTGCTTTCCAAGTAACATCATTTTCATCAAAGGTGTGAGAGAATACATTGGAGCTTGCAGGAGGACTTGTAAACTTAATTCGTTTCTTGTTTTCTTATCACAATCAAGCTCCAGCAAGTGCTAGGACCCTCTTTTCTCTAGGTGAAGGGGCCAAGTTTGACTTATCTTGTCCTGGCTGTAACCTACCAGTAAATGAGATCTGTGGAACTTCAAAAGCCTGGTTTCTCAAACAAAAGAAAAACACAAGGGGCCAATGGTTATAAATTGGCTATAAATTATAACCTTTGGTTATAAATTATAGCCAACTAAACTCACTCTGTGTTTTATTTAGTTGCAGGCCCTAGCCTCTGAACTCAAAACTGGCTTTACAGAAGCAATGCAAGAATTGTCAAGGATTCAACATGGAGAATATGCTTTGGAAGAGAAGGTTAAGAGCTGTAAATGTTCCATGGAAGAAAAAGTTACTGAGATGAAGAATTCATTAAACTATTTCAAGGTAGCGTTTTCTTTTGTTCCCCTCTGAAGAGAGATTCTTGGTGTTAGTAAGAGAGAGGCAGACTCATGTTTTTGCATTAACAGTCAAATACATGAATTTCCCTCCTGGGCCATTCACTGGTTATCATGGAAAAATATCTATTTCTTATTTTTCTTTCTTGGATCTCTATGTTAAAACTAGAGGTCATAATAAAAGTAAAACTTTCATCTCTCCTTCATTCATTCACCAATGTAGTAAAAGTTTAGCGTGTATGAGAGATGTTATATGCCTTTACCTTATATGACAGATTCAATATACATTAATCCTTATTTTTTTAGGAAGAATTGAGCAATGCTATGTCAATGATCCAGGCCATCACCTCTAAACAAGAAGAAATGCAACAGAAAATTGAACAACTTCAGCAGGAGAAGAGAAGAGAATCTCGAAAAGTTAAAGCTAAGTGAGTGTCTTATAAAAAATTTATCAAAGGCAAATCCAACTGCAGTGGCTTGTACAGAGGCACCAGAGTACCTTCTCCATACGGCCCATAGCTAGCTGGCCACTGGACTCCAGTATGTGATGGAGATTATCAAGCCATGAAAAGTGGTCATACGAAAAATGGGTGGTAAGCTGTGGTAAGAAGTGAAATGAAAATTCTATGAAATGCATGTATGACTTGATGTCAATATAATTATATAAAACATAACAACTAGAAAGATGTATTTTAAAATAATGATTGTTGTGTTAAGACAGAGGAGCCACCAGGAATTTTCCTTTTTTGTTATTATTTTTTTTTAAGATTTATTTATTCATACAGAACCGAGGTACAGGCCAGAGATGTGTGTGTGAGGGGGCGCGGTGAGAGGGTTCACCAGAGACAGAGTGGGGAGCAAAACAGGCAGATCTACTGAAACATACCGCTGAGGGGAGCAGGGGGTGAGACAGCAGAGGCCTGCTACATCATGTAGTTCACCTCTGGGCGGGAAATCGAGCTAGTGCTGCAGTGGTTGTGGATCGTTTCATACTGCTACCACCAGGGAGGGCCCTCTTTTTTTGTTAGTTTTCTAAAATTTACCTAATGCTGCTAACTCTTTCCTTTAACTTTGAAAATAAGTTTGTGTTAATATCTCGCCCAGGTAAAATCAAGTAAAATTTCACCACTAACCATCTTTGTTGTTACATGTTTTTAAAATTATCACACTTAAAGTAGAGGTATTCCAGTTAGCTTTGTGTGCCGTTGGAGGAAGAGTCGTTTTCATATGAAGACCTGCTACTTCTTGGTCCCTCTGTGTGACTTTAAGTGTAATACATACCTAGCAAATTGTCAACACTGTAAACTCTATAAAGTTTCTGATGACAAGAAATTCAGTAATAGAAAAATAAGAATGTAGACATAATTGATTTGAGATTGTCTTTTTTCTATTTTTGTTATTGAATGAAGTCAAAGCAGATGAATTCCTAGTATATGACCATTTTTAATTTACTTAGAAAAAACTTTATGTGGTTCAGTCCAATAATTCAGGAAGATTCTTAGGTTGTCCTGACCTGAATCTCTTCCTAACCCACTGGGTTTTGAGCCTGTCTTGTTTCCCTTCTCTAGGAAAACTCAAAAAGAAGAACACAGCTCACAGGCTGGGCCTGCTCAAGCACAAGGAAGTCCTTTCCGTTCCATCAACATCCCTGAGCCTGTTCTGCCCAGTGAAGATTTTACAAACCTTTTGCCTTCTCAGGCCTATGAAAAAGGTATACAGTTTACAAGTCACCCTGAATCAGCCAGCATTTCCACCTTGACTCGTACTGCTCCTGAGCAGTAACTAAGAGTGGGTTTAAGTCCTCTATTCTTAGTAGAAGAAAATGGCATATCGCTCAGAACTGTTCCCTTTTTAAGTGGAATTTAAAAGAGTAGGGTATCTGAAAGACCAGCAAGTCTATCCCACTTTAAAAGATTACGAAATGCAAATCTGAGTATTCTGAATTTCAAGTGGAAAAACTGGATTGCACAATAATGTTATAGCATTCCTAGGAGAAAACTGTTTAAAAACTTATTTGCTCTAATAAATTAATTATAGCCTATTAATTCTCAGTACCAGTCTCTCCATACAGACATTTGAAAAATATCTGTATTCTTAGCATAGGTGAAGTTGTGTGTTCTGATTTTTTTTTTTCCAACAGTGGCTGGACAAATTTTTATGCAATTAGCCCCCATAAATTGTAAAAATTTGAGTTGATCCCCAGTGCCTGGTTCTTTGTAGGCCTCAGTCCATGTTCCTGGAGTGAACAGTGATTGAAAGCTCTCCTTTCTCTGCAGCACAAGAGCCCAGATCGGTTCATGTAGGAGATAGTAATGTGAAGGGAATGATGGGTCCTGGTAAGTGGCTCTTCTTTTTTAGTTCTCTTTTCTTCTAGCAATTTCACCTTCCCTGCTTCTACGACCTCAGCCCCAAGACAAGCACAAAAGGACTCAGAAAAGATGAATCAGTATAGTTACTTCCAAGATGTATGCCTGGATCGGTCAATGACTCCATTAAATCCAGGGACAGTGAAGGGGTGGGGAAGCTCAGGACTAAGCCAGCATTCTTGGTTAGTTCAGGCTCGTTTCAATTTCCAGTGAATTAACATTTGCTGAGCATTCACAGGTGTATGTAGCATGTCACCAATGTGCCAGAGCCCACATATCTTATACTCTACTTAAAAGTTACTACTGAATAGGCCACCAGAATTCTAATTTTTTTTCCATCTTCCCTCCTTTCCTTCTTCCTTTCTGCAGCTTACTCTCCTTGAGGCCAAGGAGGACAAAATACAACAGAGGGCATTCAGTACTCTTTCTTGCTGATAGAGCTATAGACACCTGGTGTGCTCACTTGAAAGGATGCAGATACAAGGAATCCATACTTACTACTATGAATTACTTATGTTGTTTCTTCATTTATTTCTTAACTCCATATTTAGTAGAGACAATATGTCAAAAATGGAGAATGCATAGATCAGAAACAAAACCTCAGCTACTGAAAACTTTTGATCCTTAATTGCTATATTTTAATCCTCAAGGGATGGTTTCATCCAAACAGGAACATAATATTTAAGGGTTACTAACGTCTAGTTTAAGTCAGATCCTGAGGGCAGGTGCTATTTTTCAGGAATGAACCCAACAACTCCAGAAGCAGAAGAGAACCTCAAACCTTGCCTTGCAGCTGAGATCCCGTCCAAGGGCCATCACACCTCTGGTGTATGGAGGCAGCCCAAGGATGGCAAAGAATGGGGCGAAGAATATGTCACGAAAGACCACCCTGATAAACTCAAGGAAGCTGGTCAGGGCAGACACAGCTCCTTAGAAAATGTTTTATGTGAGACCTCTTTAGCTGGTAAGTTCCAAGTGGGAATATAGCTGAAAATGTAAAAACAGGAAGCACCTAGGAGCCAGAATTCTTGCATTTAGATTCAGTGGACAATGAGACCACCTAGTGGCTGGTTTCCTTTTTTGGTGAGCACACGTTTTGCTTGTACAAGTGAAAAGACTCAAGGTCACATGGCCAGCTGGGATTATGACCTTGATGCTGGGTAACCACGGCATTAATAATATAGTGTGTTGGAGACAGGGGATGGTAAGGTTGGTGGTGAATATAACAGAATTGGACGAACAATTTGTCAGTGATGGGGAAAACTCAATGTATGAATCTTGTATCAGTAATCTACGGCCAAAATATAAAATTCTGCAACAAGTTTGACTTATCATGTAGAAGTAGCCCCCAGTAACTTTTGACACTTCCGATTCTTGCTTTCATATTTAAAAGAAATTAATGTTGCTTTCTTTTTAACAATACTCTATTAAAGTTTAATTTGCATACTTTAAATGCTTAAATTTAAGTTCATTGACTTTTTCATCATCTATACCTCCAGTGATCACTATTCAGATTAAGACACACACTATTCTCAGTGTCCCAGAATGTCCTCTCTTGTACCTTTGCAGCTGATCACCACTCAAGACAAACACTGTTCTGACTTCTAGCACCATAAATGACTTTTGTCTGTTCTTCAGCTTCATGTAAATGGAATATTACATGTGTACTTTTGTGTCTGGCTTCTTATAACATATATGTTGTATATGATTTATTCGGTGGTTCATTCCTCTTAATCATATTGTATGAATTTATCAGAACTTGTTCATCCATTCTTCTACTGATGGACATTTTGGTTATTTCCAGTGCAGGGCTATTATGAATAAAACTACTATGAATAGTCTTATAAAAGTTTTGTTTTGGATATCTGACCTCACTTCTTTTGTCCATACACTGGAGTGGAATCTCTCAGTGAAAGGATTATGTCTCAGAGAGTCAACTTAACGCCATTTCCAAAGTGGTGGAACATTTTTCTTTATAGTGGTGGAACATTTTATACATCACAAGCATGCACGAGAGTTGCAGTTCCTTCACATCTTCCTAGTGGGAGGACACTTCCCTGATGACTAATCATGCGAAGCATCTTTCATATGCTTATTGGCTATTCATTTAGCTTGTGTCCTGAAGTGCTATCTAATCCTTTTATCCAGCTTTAAATTGGGTTATCTCTTTATTATCTCTTTATCATCTACTAGTAGGGTTTCTTGATATATTTTGGATAGGAGTTCTTTGTTAGATAAATGTGTGGGGGATACTTATTGCAGTCATGGCTTGCCTTTTCATGTTCTAAATAGTCCTCTGATAAGAAAATGCTTTAATTTTGTTGAAGTTAATTCATCCATTTTAAACTTTATAAGTAGCTAACAGCGTATGTGTCCTTCCAAGAAATCTCTGCCTTTCTCAAGCTTGTAAAGTTATGCTATTTTCTTCTAAAATCTTTTATTTTAGTCTTTTCATTTATCTATCTGTTTATTTATTTATTTGTTTATTTATGTATTGACCAGAGATGCAGGGGGTGAAAGGATTCCCCAGAGACAGATTGGGGAACAGAACAGGTGGATTGATTAAAGTATACTGCTGAGGGGAGCAGTGGGTGAGACAGGAGAGGTCTGCCACATCACATGGGTCACCTCTCTCCTTGGCTGGGGATCAAACCCAGGCTGCAGGGGCTGTGAATAACTTCAAAGTGTGTCGCTTTAACTCCTTGGGCCACTAGGGAGGGCCCAGGAGTCTGGTTCTTTAGCCCCAAATCTGGCTCTTCAGGTTTTACCTTCCTCCCCACAGTGAATTGCATAAAGTCTAGAGATTATATATGTGTCGACCTAATTCTAATCTCTACATTCTTTTATTCCAATTAGCAGAGAATTGACATTTTGAGAAGTTGAGTGTTCAAGTGATGACTGTGGTATCTGTCTCCGTTTACACAGATCTTCTTTAATTTTTCTCAGCAATGTAACAATCTGTCATCTACATCTTTTTTATTTTACTTTTTTTTTTTAACATTTTTTAAAGATTTATTTATTTATGCTTATGGAACTGGGGTACAGGCCAGAGGTGCGGAGGGTGGGAGGATTCACCAGAGACAGAGTGGGGAGCAGAACAAGCAGACTGACAAAGTACTGCTGAGGGGAGCAGCGGGCAGGTCAGGAGAGGTCTGCAGCACCATGTGGGTCAGCTCCCTGGAGGGGGATTGAACTCCTTCTGCAGTGGCTTTGAGAGCTTCATAATGGGTGCTTTAACCCTCTGCGCCACCAGGGAGGGCCCTGTCATCTACATCTTTTTCAGCACTTGCCCCTGGGGCTGCTACCATCCTGCTCCACCATGTACTGCCGGAGACTTCTCACTCTCCCTGGAAATTCCTTCTCCTTGTTACATGCTGCTTGTTTTTGTTTGTCTTGTGTGTCCTTGTTAGCACACCTGTCCTTTGTGTGCTACTAGATTTTCTCTCTGGTCATGTTTGGGGACTTCGCTTTATCTTTATGTGCAATAAGGCTAAGTGCTGTGTTGTGCCTTTCAAAGAGCTATTAATTATGCTGAGCACAGTGGACTTTTGCTCTGGGATTACTTGTCCTGTGATTTTATTTTTCTATTACTAATTTGATAATACCTTCTCATCTACTTTTTTCTCTCTGAAATTTCTACTAGTTTGATGTACGACCTCCTAGATTGATTTCTTCATTGCTATCTTCTTCTCTTCTAGTTTTCCTTCAATCTGTCCTTAGCGTTGTTTTTTGGGGAGGTGGGCGCTGGAGGGAGGAGGGAGAGTAGGCAGAAGATTTGACTGATTTTACCTTCTTTTCAAAATGTTCCAAAGTTTATTCTTATTTTTTTATTTTTCTTTTTTAAAAATAGTATTGCATATTTATTAAATGACTACAATACTTTTTTCATGTTTCTTTGAGAATATTAACTATAAAATTTAAGAAAAGTTTTCTTTTGTTTCTGCATTTATCTATTGGCCCCTCTCTGAAGATGTGTGTATATACTTTTTTCTTCTCTTTTACAGTGTGTGATTCCAATAGCTAATGATTCTTCGTACTAACTAGTATTAACTATTTTTACCTTAGTTAATTATCTAATTATCTAACTATATATATCTTAGTTAATTATTTATTTGAGAGAAGATTTTAAAAAAATAACCTCTGAGTGTCTTCTCTGGTGGTGCAACCCATTAACTGCAACACTGTGAAGCTCACAGCAGCCACTGCAGCATGAGTTCTGACCCACATGGCACAGCAGAACTCTCCTGACCTGCCAGCTGCTCCCCTCAGCAGTGTTTTTCAGTCAATTTGCCTGTTCTGCTCCCCATTCTGTCTCTGGTGAATCCTCTCACCCCCTGCACCTCTTGGCTGTACCCCAGTTCTTGTATTCTTAAATAAATAAATCTTTTAAACAAAACAAAAAAAGCCCTGAAAAATCTGTACTGGTTTACTTATCAGTAAATGTGCTACCTTATTATCTAATCAGGTGGGAAGTCAATTTGTTTTTCTTATGATTATTATTTATATATACAGAACTGGGACAGAGGATTCACCACAGACAGAGTGGGGAGCAGAACAGGCAGATCGACAAAGTACAGTGCTGAGGGGAGCAGTGGGCAGACAGGTGGGTCGTCCCCCAGGCCCGGGATCCAGCTTATTGCAGTGGCTCCATCTAGCTTCACAGTGCTGCTAGGGAGGGCCCAGCCACAAGGGAGCCCCCCCTTCACCCCCAAGTCCACTTTGAATAGGCAACCTCCTATGCAAGTTTTCTTTCCTGGGTAGTTCAGTTTCTCCAATGGAAGATCTGCCAGTTTCCTGCATGGAGGATATAAGCCTGGCTGCTGGCTTTCTGGCTCTGTAGGGGGAGAAGCTGAGGGGGAATCTCACTATTAGCAAATGTTCTTTTCATTTAGCAACTCAACTCTACCTTCTACCATCTCCACTGTCTTTAGCCCAGACCCCAGAGAAAAGGGTTTCTCTAGGTCAATGTTTCCCATTTCCCATGGACTGCAATGAGAAAGCCATCTGGCGTGGGGGTGGGGGCCTGGAGTTCAGTTGCACTTTGTGCAGACTGCCTCCTGTTTTTAACATTACCCCCGACTTGCACTTTCTGCCATGCTCAATGCCTCCAATCATCAAGATTTTCTGCTTCTCAGCACACTTCCCATCTGCAGAAGAGAACACCAGGGTCCTTTACTCTGCTGAATCCATTACCAGGACTCCATTGTGTTTTCCATTTTCTGAAACCATGCTGATCTCTTTTTATTAGTTTCTATCATTTTCTATCATTTAATAGGGCTTGGGGAAGGATGGTTAACAACAACAAAAAAAATCCCTCTTTGGTTTGTTTTAAAGCGAAAAGACAGACTGTGGCTCTAGAACTGCTTGAATCAGAAAGAAAATATGTCATTAATATCTCTCTGATCCTGAAGATCAAGGCAACATTCCAGGGATCTGATGGAAAGAGGAATACCAAAGAGAGAAGGTATCCATGTATTCATTGCCTTTGCTTATCAGATTGATTACGAGTTAAGGTAAGTTGCTTACTGTTTCCACCTTGGGACTCCTGACACCAGTAAAGAGTTCCAGAAATAGTCTTTCAAAAGATAGTAGGCAGTGATAGCCTGTAGCTCTGGCAGATATTACATTTGCATGCTTAGTAAATGAGAAGACAAGTATTGTCTCAAGTCTTTTGCCTATCTGTTAAGCCCATGCATATCTATTAAGAACCTAAATGCTGCAGGAGGGTGGCAAGGCTCTCCACTGCCAGCTGCCCTGGATCTCAGGAAGCTAGAGGGAATGGAGGTGGAGAGGTCTGAAGCACTAAATGGTCACTGGATAAAATTTACAGGATTACAGGCCTGACATGACTATGGGGTTGGGCCTTCACTTTTGTGAAGTTCAGGGAATTCCATAGTACTGGGTAGTATGATTTAAGTCTTCTCTAAGATACTCTTTTACAACCCATTACTGAGGAAGAAGTGGACCTCCAATTTCTGAGATTAAAAAAGCTATCTCGCAATCCTAGGTGAAAGTAAGATTGTGGTCACTTCTCATATGCATGGCAATGCCTTTCATGTTAGTTATTTGCTGAGCTACCCCTCTTTTTTCTATTCGTAGACCACGAAGAAAAAAACTTCAACTCAATACTCTTAGTGTAACAGGGTGGTCCCCCAGGCAGGTTTGGGGGTTCAGTGGTGCCCCTCTCTCCCTGTCCTGTAACATTAGGACTAGTATGTAGTTTCTGGTTCTGAATTTTGTGGTGTTGTCATTTTTCTACCTTACAGCAGGATTTTCATTATCCTCCACTCACTGTATTTCTTATTATTTCTAAGTTTTTCTGAAGCCCTTATGCATAATACTCTAAATAGGCAGCAGAATGGCATACTCAAAGAAATGGGATTATTTCTTTTGCCTATGCAAAAGATGTACTGCTTTTCCCATCAAAAATCTCAAACTTTCAGCACTTGCCACCTCTAATGAAAAGTAACCCAAGTGGGGGCACTGGATGGATAATAACCCCACAACTACAACCTGACATTCAAACTTAAGGTTGCCACATCTTCTCAAACTTAAACCTTTACTCAGGAAAGTTTTCCCTAGAAAGTGGGAAGGAAAATAAGGGAGCGAGAGAAAGATAAGGACAGAATGGAGGGAAAGAAATTCCAAGACGGGTAGCTGATATGTACTCATCACAAAGGCAGATCAGAATTATTATTCAAAGTCATGCATAGCCTCTGGGTGGAAAAAATCTTTTCTATCTATATCTTTTGCTGGTGTGGTATTTAACCCAGTAAAGATCAGTTGCAATTCTTCCATCACCTTTATGGAAGAATTCCATAAAGATTCAGCTTCTCCCATAAAGATTCTCAGTCTTCCAGACACGCCTCTGAGTTCCTGTAGGAGAATTCTGCAGACTCTGACACACAGAGTAGCTGCCAGGCACCAAGCACAAGTGCTCAAATCAGGAAGTCTCTCCTGGATCTTCCAGATCAGAGATTTCTCATAGAGGAGACTCAAGGTACACTAGGTGGTGGGAGCAAAAGGTGGGAGTGGAAGAAATCCCTGTTTCTTTTCCAAGGGAGCAGGGAGCCCAATTCTGGCATTTGTGTGTCTTCTCTGAGCTGCAGCCACCAAAGAACATCTGCTCTGCTTGGAGCAACCCTCCCGCAGATTGGTGTCCTTCCTGTTGTTCTCTTATCTGGGATTGGCAATGCTCCAGATTGTCCACTGGTTCATCTCATTAGAATCCTGGGGAAATAGCCAAATAAGCTTAAGTGACAAGTGGTCACTTTCATCTTTGATGAATTTGTGGTCTTGGGAATCTATTTTCATTCCCAAGTCACCAAGTCAGAGTTAAAGTTCTTGCTGTAGCCCTAGCAAGACATCACTTAATTTTTTTCTTCCTTCCTTGTTCCTATAGATCTCTGATAGTCACTATCCAGTTCCCCTCCTTCCTTTGAACATTGCTTCTCCCTTTATTTCCTCTGAATAAAATGAGGCATCTTGAGAGATGAAGCAGTAGCTTAGGAGAGTGGGGAGGGGTGCCTGTGTAGACAGTATCCCTGCCTGGTCTCACCTCTCAGGACCTGAAGGAGAGGGGAAAAGGAAGTCTTGTACCAGCCCCTGAGCTTGACAACAAGCACCAGTTGTCATTTTTAAATAAATTTCCCTGCAAATGTAGGTAGCAGTCTCCTCCCCAGAGTGACCAAGAGTGACCAAGTGTACCTTACTATTGACATCTGTACTGATGCGGCCCCGTAGCAGAGACTATTTCACACCTCAGTGGGAGTAACTTTAGAGGAAGAGCCCCTCAGCGTTGCCAGCGTGGCTTGTGAAGCCCAGTGTGCCAGGCTGGTGTTTCAAAGGCTGTTCTAGTGATGTGACGTGTTCTTTGTTAGTTCAAAACATTTGTGTGTAGGAGCCACCAGTACAGGGACTGTCTGTCACCTCAGGACCTCTTCTGTGAGGTCTACAATGACCAAAAAAAAAAAAAAAAAAAATCTAAATGGAGACTTGTGACTCAGAATTCTCTTGAATCGCTGGGGAAGGACCAGCTGCATATATTCTGTAAGCCCGTGTCTTCTCCACACTTGGTTTGTGTGATTCTGTCTCTATTCTGTTTCAAGCCTCTTCCCTGGCTCTTTACGATACCTTGTCCAGCAGCACCTGGATTTGCTTCATGCTCTGCAGGAGAGGGTCCTCAAGTGGCCACGCCAAGGAGTCCTTGGAGATTTATTCCTTAAACTAACAAATGATGAAGTAAGTTTTTTTTAATTTTTTAAACTTTTTTTTTAAGACTTATTTATTTATGCATATAGAACTGGGGTAAGGCTAGAAGTTCAGGGGCTGTGAGAAGATTCACCAGAGAGCAGAACAGGCATATTGATGAAGCACACTGCTGAGGGGAGCAGTGGGTGGGTCCGGAGAGGTCTGCAGCACCATGTGGGTCACTTCCTGGCCAGGGATTGAACTTATGCTGAAGTGGCTTTAGCTTCTTAGTGCTGTGTTTTAACCCACTGTGCCACCAGGGAGGACCTTTTTTTTTTTTAATGTATTACATTGAATCCTATAAATCTGTGTCTCCATCTGCTTCCCTTAATGGAGAATCTAGAATCAGTGAATGTCAGTGAGAGAGGAATCACTGAGATGTAGTTTAACCTGCTCATTCTAAAGATAATGAAATAAAGTGCACAGAGTTTAAAAGACTTTGCTGCTTGAAATTACTTGCTTAGTGGTTCATTTGTCATTAGAACCTATGATCTAACTTCCAGTTCATATACCTCTACATACTAAAAATGTATCCATTTCATAAGATGTCAAGGTACTAAAAATACTAAAAATTATCCATCCAATTATGGATGATAAACATATATACCTGCATGTATATCCAAAGTACATAAGTAGGTGAGGGTCTGTGTTTATGTATGTATTTCCAAATACAATTCATTTCTTAGAGGTTAATATGTGATAGGCATTTGTCTTGAATGTTTCACTTTATATTGTGAAAAAAAAATGTGCTTAGTTTTTACTCCTTACAGATAAGGGTTTTGAAGTCTCTATAGTATTCTACAAAAAAAGATATGAGTCAGTCCAGAAGATGCAAACTGAAATGAGTTCAGGGCCAGATAGTGATGTGAGCTGACTGTAACACAATATGGACTGTTGGGAGTTTAAGTGGAACAAATGCTTTTCTACATATATTCTGTAAATTGGATAAACTACTCATTTTTATCCAATTATTCTTCAGGTCAGAGAGCTAGAGTTGTCAGATCTTCTGATATTTTAAGAGAAAATGGAAATCCGTAATGTTACCTGAAATTTTACTTTTCAAACATTGTGTGGTCTAACTAAAATAGACTTGAAAGCCAGACTTTCCCTGCAGTCAAGCTCTGTGTATTAGTGATTCTCAACTATGGATAATAATACAAAGTTTAGAAATTACTTATAAAGATAAGATGGAAGGTCATCCATCTAAAATCACTTTTACTCATTTGTATTCAATGTCCTTTCTTGAGCAGAGAATTGTAATATCTGTGGGAATATAGCCTTGGAGCTGAGGACTTTTCTGGGGGGGATATTACAGAGGTGAGCTGCAATTAGTGGAAATGTGTAACTAGTAGGAAGGGTTGAGCACTGGGCTACGTATAATGAAGTGTGCTGGACAGACTTCCTCGTTTGGATAGAGGATTGAAATCAAAGTCATTAAAAAACAACATGCGCACTCCTTTTTGAGGTACATGACTATAAAATATTAGTTGTTATCATTCCTGTTTCCAGGTTCTTACCATGCATTTCTGTGTTTGTTTTCAAGAATAATTTCTTGGATTATTATGTTGCCTACCTGAGAGACCTGCCTGAATGCATTTCTTTGGTTCATGTTGTTGTTCTGAAGGAGGTAAGTTAACTTGCTTCCCTTTGGTTGCATGTGGCTCAATATGATGCTGCTCATCCACCGGGAAATATAGGCCATGCCCTGGGAGTTTGTCTTCCAGGCTGGGCAAAGACTTGAGCAAAACCACTGTCACTTCTTCTTGGGGTTCCAGGAGACCCCGTAGGGTCACCATTGCCTTATTCCTTACCCTACTTTACAGACCTTCTGTTCCCTTTCACTGGATGTATAGACAAAGGACCCTGGTGTTCTAAACAGATCTTCAGACTGCAGCTTACATACTGTATGAAAGTCTTGTTTGTTTGTTTTCCTGGCTCTGATAATATGAACTAGAGAAGTAAATTTATTTAGTCTGAATATTAAACTGAAGTTATCCTGTGCCTGTCAGTGTACAGGATTACAAAGTGGTGGCTTTAAATGTGATACTCCAGTGATAGGCAGTGAGTAAGCAGATATAAATATGTAACAATTCTAGTTAATTTAGGACAATAGGAAGAAACTTCACCAGAAGTCCCCAAGTGAAAAGTTGATCAAGTTTTACAAGAGGCAAGGGATTTTGTCTTATTAACCTTTTATTCAACCCTCTGCTGCTTCCAACCCATTGTAATACATATCACACACTGTAGCATTCGGCAAGTATTTGAAGAAGGAGAGGGGTGGGGAAGGAAAAGACAAGAAGAAACTCCAGTGTGGCTCACCCCTGGTGGCTATTAGTAGACCACTGTCACTGTCATGATTACTTGCTGGGGAACTTAAATGAAATAATTCAATTCAAATATATTTTATTGAATGCCCATCTCACTCTATGGAGAGAGGAGGAAGGAGGGGTTAGTTTGGCAAGTTGGGTGCATTCAAAAGAGATAAATGTTATGGTTCCTACTTTAGAAAAACGGTCTCCTTGAGCGTTTTCTCAACAAGTGGCCTCTCCAGTGATAGAGCAGTACCTCCAGACAACGCAGAGGAAGATCTCTGGAAGTAAACCCTTCGTACCCTGGGACTAACTTTGGGGTTCTGCAGCCAGAGCTTTACTGGAACCCTTAAAGTAACTCCCCCTTTTCTTTCATTCAGGGTGATGAAGAGATTAAATCTGACATCTACACACTGTTTTTTCACATAGTTCAACGCATCCCTGAATACCTGATACATCTGCAGGTAGGCAGGGCTGGGCACTCTACCAAACTGACTGCATGCTCAACAGCTGTTTTGGCTTCCAGTTGAAAAACACTGTAGAGGATCAAGGGATGGTTAATATTTCTAAGAAGTTCTGAAATGGTTTAATGTATTATGATTGCCCCATCTTCTCCACCTGGTGCCTGATGCCTGCCTTGGATGGTCTGTCTTTGTTTACCAGCAATCCACCCCTCTGCTGACCCAGGGTCTTTCTAAAGTAGCTCCTGCTAAAGTCTGAGTTCCCCTTCAGTCCCTTCCACCCCGGTGCTGCAGCCTCCTGAATGCACCCTCCCACCCCTGCTTTTACACTAAGAAATACCTATGTAAGCTTCCCAGGAACTGTTATCCTGGCTACTTTCTCTTATCTTGAGTCTAATCAAAAATGGCTTCTGTCTTATGTCACAGAAGATGCATGAAGAAGATGTTGATTTCTTCACACCATTTCCCTTGGGATATATAGCACCTTGGAAGAAGTAGAGTTCACCAGCACAACTACAAGCACTTCTTCCTTCTAATCCTCCCGGGTTCTGGTTTAACTGCTGACCAATCTTAAGTAATTTAGTGAGACCTGGGAATATATCTTAGGAAAAAGAAGCCTGGTGTCATTAAAAAAGCAAGCAAACAAACAAACAAAAAACCTTTCAAATGTATGTGACTCTAGATTTTAACCTCAGGAGATAGACAGCAGTATTACCATGTCTTAGATAAGGAAGGGAAGAGGCAAAGAAGTAACTCGCCCAAGTTAACAAACCAAGTTGGTGAAATAAAAGTGGGACTGAAACCCAGGTTTTACAAATAAACAAGAACCCAAATTTTACTGTCTAACTTTACCTCACATCCTGGCTACCGCTCATGAGCTGTGTGAACTTATGAATATTACATAACTTTGCTGTGCCTCGATTCTCATATATGTAAAATAGGGGAATAATTGTACTTATCTAACCAGATGTGGTAAAAATTAAGTTAGAAAATAGGGCTTAGTGCTTGGCCATAGGAAGCACTTCATGTTAGCTTTCCCCAATCCAACTAGCATCCAAGTCCCACAATAGATTTGAAAAAAATAATACCCTCTTCCAACCTGCCTTGAAGCCTGACATTCTCAGCATGGTCTGACTCTGTGGGGTTCAAAAGCATTTCTTGTAGACAGTAATTGTTAGAATGACTCATTACCCCAGAGATCTAGTTAATAGATTCTTCTATTTTTTTCTCTTATGCTCACATCCTGTTCAAACAGGAACGGTAGTGACCATTATTTTCCCTGGCTGTGATGGACAAAGAGAAAGGCACTTTTGACCTTTCATCTTATAATTAGATTGGCTATATATGTTTTGAAAATAAAATTGCTACCAAAATCTCATGACAGAACCAGGTGCAGAAGAGAGGAAAACAACTTTCACTCTAATGATACCATGCTATCGTTTCCCCTCTATCTAGAATGTCCTCAAGTTCACAGAGCAGGAGCACCCTGACTATTACCTACTCCTGGTGTGTGTTCAGCGCCTTCGAGTGTTTATCTCACACTACACCCTGCTGTTTCAATGCAATGAGGATCTGCTTATTCAGAAACGGAAAAAACTCAAGAAGTAAGGTTCTGATGATGCAGCCTGCAGGGTTGATGACAGGTTTCTGAGAAGAGGGATGCAGACAGTAGCTGTGAGTGGCAGTGACAACACCCCGTGTTAAGTGACTGTGATATAGTGACAAGGAGATAGGGCAGAGAAGGGGAGGGAGGACAGGCAGCACTAGTCAAATTTATTTAGGAAAATAAGCACTTCACTCTAATGCTTCTGCAGATGCTTCTGCAGAACTAGTTGCTAACCACATGAACTAGTTCTGGCTCCCTAAACTTGCCAGATTCAAAATTGCAGTTGAAAGGCCAGACTGTGGTTTCTCTTATTAAGTCAAGAAATATTTATTGTATACCTATGATTGTGTCAGGCAGTTTTACAGTGTATTTATTAGAATGAACAAAACAGAAAAAAAGCTGCACATGATATTACTTTCTAGAATTGGACCATCAGTTGATAAATAAGTTAGATGGTATTATGGATAAAAATAAAACAATTTAGGAAGGGGATGCTGTTTGGACAGTCTCATGCTAAGAGGAAATGGAATAGGCTGACTGAAAGAATCCAGGCTTCAGATGTAACAGGAACAACTACAGCAGAGCTTCCTAATGATTTGGATTCACTTCAACCTTATCCCAACCCAAGCAGGAAGACAGAGTCATTACTGTGCATGCTTCCAGAAAAAGACACTATCTTGGCAAGTTAGACTTTTCTAATAAGGACATCTTCCCATTGAGAGCCTTCCCCCAAACTCAAGTCAGCCAATTAGCATTTATAGTCCCCACCTGGGATCCAGCTGCACCCTATTATGTAAACAGCTGTTTTGCAGAGGGGTCATGAGAGGGAGTAGGGGAAAAGAAAAAACCTTCACAGATGACCTTCATTTGAGAAATAGCTTTGGATCTTTTTTGACATAATCTATGCGTTCAGAGAATCAATTTCCTACAACACACCCTGAGAATGATGACTTCAATTCTGTTAGGTCATCCATGGCGAAGCTGTACAAGGGATTGGCTTCCCAGTGTGCAAATACCGGGCAAGAATCTTCTCCTACTCCAGGACCTGAGGTGGTCCGTGACAGTGGGATCCATTCAGAAGAGATTCTGCAACCCTACCCTCCTGCTCCCAGCTCTGGCTCTGCTGTCACGTAAGCACCTGTTGCCCTGGGAGAGTTAATGGCAATTCCCTTGGGTCCCAAACAGCCTCTGTAGGATAGGATAAGCTATAGGCTTCCTCCCTCTCTCCAGCCCCATCAGGCCTCTCCATAAGGCAGGTAAGAAGCTGACCTGCCATTTAGATCTCAGAGGAAGACACTAACATCAGGGAGCTGGAGATTATCCCTAGTAATTTTACCACTGTCCACCTATATTATGAATCTCTGGATTTGGATACTGATGGAAGAGTGTGATATAAGAAGACAGGAGGGCATTTTACGGCCCCTCAAAAGGGATGAGAAATCACGTAATTTCTCCAAAAATAAGTATAGGGAAAGGAAATCCCAGTTAAGGGTCAAAGGAAGTCTGAGGACGAGAAATAGGTCTGAGATGATGCAGAAAGAATGCTGTGTAGCCCTTCCAGATTCTCCTTAAGCTTCTTTAGAAAGGGACTTAAATTCTGTTCTTCACTTATGACAGCTTCTATGAAAGTTGTCCTGAGCTGGATTAAATTGCCTTTTTAAAGTCTCTACACACAAGACTCTAGCACAATAAAGGGGTTCTCACTCAGCAAACATCTCAACAATCATAAGGGTAAAGAATTTACAAATCTGGAATTCATTTTACCTCTGATAAGGGCAAAGTCATATCCCTTTTCTACCCTAATTTTTCTTAAAGTTACCAGAACATTTGTCAGTGAGAGATGAAAGAGCAAATGTATAGAGGAAGGAGGGAGAAATTCCATCATCATTCTAAAACCTACGAGATACCTTTTCTAGAAATAAAGTCCAGAATGAGTTCCTTCCTACAGAGAAAATTCTAGGAGTCCTGGAGAACAGGTGGAGAGCCCCAAAGAATGAAATACCTGCAGAGTATAACCAGAGCGAACAAAATAGCTGCTGTCACATTCTGTATGTGTATGGGAAAAACCTAACAACAATCATCCAAGTGAAGAGAGAACTGAAGTGAGGTCAATGTTTTGTCTTACTATTTTTTTTCACATCTGTAAATGTGAAAACTAGTTGTCAACTTAGGTCACTGGAGAAAGATACTCAGTGCTAGCAGTCATGCCTGCATTCTTTATGCTTTTTTGGTGGTAGAACTAAATGTGAATAAACTAGCCAAATAACCAGTGGAAGCCCCTAAGTCACCCACTCACATAGGTCTGGCAAACAAATTCCAGCATCTGAGCCAAGAGGTCCACTCTCCTAGTGCCCCTATGTAAATTACCTCGCGTAATTTAAAAGTCCCCTGTGATATGGGGCAATTTGAGGGTGAGAAGCTTGAGAAGACTTATGTTGCACGTTTTACAGCCAAATTATGGGAATTTCAAATACGTACAAAATAGTGATTCCCACATACCATTATCCAGACTCCAGCTATCAAGGTCACCCTACATTCATCTAGGATTTTGTTTTCATGTGTGAATAGGAGTTGAACAGAAGGTGTTTCTAGTCGTTTGTGCAATTCTGCCAGGGCAAGAAAAGTTGCAGAGAGAGCAAAGAGGTGCTTTGGGCGGCAGGTGGTGGTCAGGAAGAGTCAGCGCTTTCACGGGGGGAGTGATGAGGGTCCTTGACCATCCGCCACCTCTAGACAGTGGTTCCCTGCTCAGAGGAGACCGCGGGCAACCCCGGTAAAGAAAGCGATTTTCACCCTGGGGACCGCGAGTCGCGGGAACTCAATGGGACCAGTTTGTGGAGCGTGGCAGGTAACGCACAGGCAAGTGGGGGGAAGGAGAGGAGCGCGATGTCTGCTGCTGTGAGTCCCGGTGTGGCTGGCAGCCCGAGAGGCCTGCACTAACGAACCGTTTGCACACCTCTCTTGTATTGTTTCCCCTTAAAGACATTTGATGCCCCCAGTGAAGAAAAGCCAACAGCAGCAAAGCCTGGTGGAGAGCATGCAGCCCGGGAAGCCCAGTGACTGGGAGCTGGAGGGCAGAAAACACGAGCGGCCCGAGAGCCTCCTGGCGCCCGCGCAGTTCTGCGCCGCGGAGCAGGACGTGAAGGCGCTCGCCGGGCCCCTGCAGGCGATCCCGGAGATGGACTTCGAGCCCTCGCCCGCCGAGCCGTTGGGCAACGTGGAGCGCTCCCTCCGCGCCCCGGCCGAGCTTCTGCCCGACGCCCGCGGCTTCGTGCCCGCGGGCTACGAGGAATTCGAGTACGGCGGGGAGATCTTCGCGCTGCCGGCGCCCTACGATGAGGAGCCCTACCAGGCCCCGGCCCTCTTCGAGAACTGCTCGCCCGCCTCTTCCGAGTCCAGCCTGGACATCTGCTTCCTGCGGCCCGTCAGCTTCGCCATGGAGGCCGAGCGGCCCGAGCACCCGCTGCAGCCGCTGCCCAAGAGCGCCACGTCCCCGGCGGGCAGCAGCAGCGCCTACAAGCTGGAGGCGGCGGCGCAGGCGC